CCTCTCGTTCTAAAGTGGCGAATTACTGACTGCTAGCTTTTTCACGTACCTAATTACTAAGTGCGTTTCTTAAGGCGATTTGTACAAATAAACTTCGAAATAGCTCTTATTATTATTGCCATTTATTTTTATTATTTTTTAAATTCTTCTCTACTGACATTGGGTGATTCTTCAGCATTGTTATTCTTACCTCTTGTTGATAAATGTCCAAGACTCTTTCAAGGGAAAGCTCTTCAAAGTAAAGTCGATCGCATTCATCATAATCAGTGCTTACAGTCTCGGGGTTATGGTTGACAACAACCTGNCTATTCTAATAAGGCTTTAAGGCTTGAACTGTTTGCTTCACCAACTTCTCTACATTTTTCAGTTCACTTGTCTTAAATTGATAGTTAATTATTGCATAACACATTGAACACTTTACGTAAACAACCTTTAAATTCTCTGAGCTATGATTTAGATACTGTCTTAGACAACCAAAAAGCATCAAAAAACACTTTTCAGGCCACTACATTTAAAGCTGAAGAAAATTTAAGGACATTTCAAGGAAAAATGGAATTCAAGGACTTTTAAAGAATGTGTGAACCCTGCCAATACCGATCCCTGAAACAACTGCGGGACGCATTTCGCCTCCAGTTCCCCTCTCGTTCTAAAGTGGCGAATTACTGACTGCTAGCTTTTTCACGTACCTAATTACTAAGTGCGTTTCTTAAGGCGATTTGTACAAATAAACTTCGAAATAGCTCTTATTATTATTGCCATTTATTTTTATTATTTTTTAAATTCTTCTCTACTGACATTGGGTGATTCTTCAGCATTGTTATTCTTACCTCTTGTTGATAAATGTCCAAGACTCTTTCAAGGGAAAGCTCTTCAAAGTAAAGTCGATCGCATTCATCATAATCAGTGCTTACAGTCTCGGGGTTATGGTTGACAACAACCTGGTTTGAGAAAAGAAATAACAATAATAATAAACAAGAAACACAATTCTCAGGCAAAAAAGTACAACAACAGAAAATGGTTTCACGATGGATTTGCAAGGCAACTGGTTAATCGTAAAGACCGTTCACTTATGAAACTCTATTCTGCTACTATCAAACAACAAGAAGAAACGGGATTACAAGGGCATTATCACCAAGATTTAGCGGTACTTGAAAATCCAATAGTTTTGTTTGTATTGACTAGTGAGTCACTAATATTGGCCTATCCTTACTATATTAATGCCAGTCACCAGTATTGGCCTACCCTCACTATACTAATGCGTAGTGTCCCTGATTTCGGGCCAACGTTTTAAAGCACAACAGAGTTTTATTCGGAAAAATCGCTCATTTATTGTGGCTTTCTTGCAGCTTAAAAATTGATTTCCACTGACGCGTTTTTGGCTACGCACGTTAACGCACGTAAATTTTAATAATGTAAATAAAATAAAGGTAAGACAAAAAGTGCTGAGCTTAAACGAGAAGTTGAGCGAGGTTCAACTTTTACGCTTACGAGCGACCTTTCATGAATTGCCTCTATTTTTACTTTACGCACGTACGCACGAAAAAATTACGCGACACTGGAAATCAACCCTAAGACAATCAAATAGTTTTCGCCAAAACTCGGAAGCATTCTGGTGATACTGCCCCCTAAGCCTAACAGACCTCTAGCTTTTTCCAAAATCATCTTACCGTTTTAATCCCCAGGTTGCGCAGGGTTCTGATGCAAGACACAGCGCACCAATCAAACTCCACACTGCTGCCAATGTGGTATGGACCACAGCCCAAAACCATGACACCTTGATCGTCAAACAGGAGATCGTTTTCTTGTCCGTTATACGTCATGTATAGATAGTTGGTCTTGGCGGGGTACTCGGCTGCCATTGTATCAATCTTTTGATCAAATCAAACAGATATATCAACAAATATTTGGGTACTGTACATAACACATCATTACCATCATGATAAACGCGTGCTACCAACAATTTTTTCCACAAAATCTGATTCCATGATGCAAGTTTTTCTTTAAAAATATAATTTATTATGTAAGCGAAGCAAAATGCCGCAGCACTTGGGCAGCGAAATGAACGTTTTTTGTCTTAAACAGGGTCAGGGTTTGAAGGCCTTGAGGACAATCCTCTTTCCAATTAATCCCTACACATTTAAGTTTTCAACCACTCTCAAATCCAATTGGTGGTTTTCACGGTCACGCCATCCAAAAAAATCATAACCATTCACCCGGACCATTCAACATTTAAAGGCCATTGTCTGTGAAATAAAAGAAGACAAATATTTAAAAAGCCTCATCAAGAATTAGGCATGTGCCATTGTCCTTATGCGAGATACTCCGAAATGTGTTTTTACAAATTTATAGAGCATTGTATGGAGACGCCATGTTGGTATTCCTTTAAGGGGCAAAAAAATGGCCCAAACAGTTTCAAACTTTCAAACTATAGTGACCCAAAGAAAAAGCACTATGAACAAGACCGGAACTAAATCAATCTCCGAAGCTTTAATTACGACAGCTTGGATTCACGGTCTCTGGCTTTCCACAGCAACCTTGTTTTAGATGGTTTTAGATTGTTTGCGAGTGGTTGTAGATGTTTTTGAGGTGGTTGTAGATGGTTGTAGGTGGTTGTTGAATTTTTTGAGGTGGTTGTAGGTGGTTTTAGGTGGTTGTAGATGGTTTTAGGTGGTTTTAGGTCGTTCCATGTTTTAGTAACTACGCGTAATTCTACCCTAATTGTTTCCTTAAATAGTGCTTTACTTAAAAACATGTGGAATAAAATGTTCTTAAAATGTACAGACTGATTTGTATGTTCTGTAATATCATGTCCCTAAGTTTTCCTTCCCATTTTCTGCTTCGACGTTTTCATTAAAAAACTTTTAAAATAAATACTTTTTTCCGAGTTCTGGAATTATTCTCTAAACAGCACGTAACAACTGACAATCATCCGCAGTTTCTGGGTTCTATCGGTGTCATGTTTATGTTCTGCAAAGTTAATTTTCACGTAGAACGATCAGCTTCCCAGATTTATATTCTCTGGGTATATATTTTAGCGATCAGATCTCCTGTAGATTCTTCGTCCTGGGGCATATTCTTATATTCGTTTGCGGTCCTTTGCAGTTAACGTTCTTTTGTTATACAAGAGAAAAGGTACCTTCCTCAAATTCCATTGTCGGCGGGCTCTTACAGCTGTACAGTACCGCAAATGATCCCCAACCGCAAATGATCCCGAGACCGAAAATGATCCCCAAAATGGACCGCAAATGATCCTCGACCGCAAGTGATCCCCAAAGTCGACCGCAAATGATCCCGAAAGAAAAATAGGAATGACTTGGACTCAAGTTAGCGGATCATCGTGTCGATTTCATTATTATTACAATAAGTCAGGTTAAAAGCTAAATTTTACTTCTCAAATAAATATATGAATAAAAACTAAATAAAAAAAACCATTCAAGAGTAAAAACGAAGTAGGTAGGCAACACACGACTTTTACCTCATGCTAAAATGCTGCTTGTTCCAATGACTTTTTTCCGGCTCTGGCGGGTAGATTATACCTCTGAGGAAAACGTTTTGACTGAGCAAATGTGATTTTTGCTGCTTATTTCATAGTGAGAGGTCATGACACGCATTTTCTGCGGTTATTGTTGTTTCTGGTCGGCATGATTTGCCCTTTGATGCAAGAGCATTTCCTTTTACCTCTTTTGAAATGCAGTGCTCTTCATTGCCGCTAAATAAGGGTTTTAGGTTGTTTAATTTTCTCCTAAGTGCCTCCTGGATCGGAACAATCATAAGCGATTTTCTTTTAGGCCGTGAATGTGACGGTTTCTTACGATGTTTTGTCACGCGATAACTACCGCTTACCTGGCTTTGCGTTTCTCATTACCAGGTTTAGATTTCTGGTAACTGTCTTCAGCAAAGCACAACAAATGAATATACATAAAAACGCTAATATAACTATTCACAACACGTTCATGAGATGTAAGAAAGTTGCTATTTCGAAATAAACCGAAACCTGTGGACATTGATAAGTTCGGGGGCATTTTGACTTGTGTTTATGTTAAATCATGTCTTGTTTCGTAACGGGCACCTAAGTTACGAACAAATGTCTTGCTGTTTATCACGTAAAATTAACACTTCAGAGAAAAGTCAAAATGAAATATTCTGGCTGATTAATTTCACGCTTTCAAAAAGATCAGTAAAGTCAATAAAGCTCTTGTTAGGTAGAGGGTGCCCGGCTTTGTATTCCTCAATAGAAAGGTTGAGCTTCTAGGCGTTAAAACAATTTTTCTGCTTAATGTCCTGCCTGTCTTAAATTTTTCAAAAGACGAAACATTCTTGAAAGAAAATTGAAGCAATCGACAAAGGAAGAAGTATACGGTTAATACCATACCTTTTCAGATTTATTCCATTTTCTTTTTTTCTCCTTGTATAAATTGACCTGAGATGTAGCGTCCTCCTTCCCTTTTTCTTTAAAAGGCGAGAGAAAAAGGTTTCTTTTTTATAATAAGTCCTTTTTTGTAATCAGACCCATAAAATCCATTCCATTCCTCAAGTTTTCACGGGATCATTTGCGGTCGACTTTAGGGATCACTTGCGGTCGAGGATCATTTGCGGCCCATTCTGGGAATCATTTGCGGTCTCGGGATCATTTGCGGTTGGGGATCATTTGCGGTACTCTACAGCTCTCTCAAGAGAAGAGAACACAAAAAGGAGTTGAGAAGAACGATTTCTTTTTTTCCACAAATCCATGCGTTCTTTTACCGTTAAAGAGACCCTTTTTATAAAAAACGAAGCTTTGCTTACAATTTTTTCCTCATCAGCCCATGATAGAATGATACCTTTTCCGTGAAAATCGCGTAAAAGCTACGCAAAATGAAAACAACACGTCAACGATTTGCCCTTAGGCGGCCAGTTCAGCTACCGTAATCAATTAACGTCACGCGACTGTATAAATCTTCACCTTTAATCCTGCCAATGTCATTGTAGAGACACAAGTGACCCACAGAAAAAGAGCTAATATGAAAGTTATATGCGCGGGTATGAATAAGACCGGAACTAAATCAATCTCCGAAGCTTTACGACAACTTGGATTTACGGTCTTTGATGCAGTTCCACAACAATTACTTGATTTCTTGGATCACTGGGTTGATGTTTTTCAAAATGGCACCCAGCCAGATGTGAAACGAGTCTACCAGAATGCAGATGCGGTGGTGGATATACCTGGAAACCTTTTCTGGGAGGAAATATTGGAAACTTTTCCTGACTGTAAAGTAATTTTGAGCGAACGAGATGAAGATTCTTGGATACAAAGTTGGGTAAACCAACTTGAAATGATCCAGGCTGCTCGCGTGGGAATAAAAGCATTTATAGCGTACAAGCTATCGCAAACTGCTAGAAAGTTGAGGTACGTTGGCGACTCTTGTTTTACGGCGTTACTTGGTTCTACGAACCCCAAGTCCAATTGTGTTTTCAGAAAGCGATATCGTATGCACAATCACCGTGTCAAGTCCATTGTACCACCTGAAAGGCTACTTGTGTTCAATGTAAAACAGGGATGGAAACCGCTGTGTGATTTCTTGGGCTGCGAGGTCCCAACATCTGCCTTTCCACATGAAAATATCAAAGGAGAAATCCTCACAAAACCAGTGAAAATGGAACGATTACGTCAGCAGGTGAGTTCGGAAGTTCGGAAAGGATTTTTGGGGATCCTCTCTGTAATCGTGGTTATTGTAGCTTCAATTGTTGCAGTATGTTATTGTTCATTTTTTGAATTGGATCAGAACCTTGGAAAACACGGCTGACCAAGGTAGTCAAGGTACAGAAAACTTTATACCACTTTCGGTGGTACAGTATGAGACCAAGCATTTTGTACATTTTGCTTCCCTTATCCACCGTGTTCTCGGTTTTCGGAAATCTAATTATTGGATTGCTAACTCATTCATTCCACCATTCACCAAACCGCGATATCTGACCTTCTTAACCACATGAAACCAAAGGCCACCCTGCCTCCAGAGGTCCGTTGTCAAAATACCTAATATGAAATAAACCGTGCTCAAAGTTTGATATCGGTAAGAAAAAAATATCCTGTGGCACCCAGGGTAACCAAAGGCATGCACCAATGGGTTTCATTGTTTTAACCGCACCCAATATCATAACCTGCGTAGCAGGCATTCGGGCAACAACAACAAGGAACGCAAACTCCGCAAAAGGTCACGCTTACCAAGTTCGTTCTCATGCCTGCTACACAGTACAGCCTACCAATATCACAAAGGTTAGCACTCATCTCAACCTATCACAATATAAGGCCTAGAAAACTTACACAGATACGACCGACTCAAGTCGACGATTTGCCCTTAGGCGGCCAGTGCAGCCACAGTAATTCGCGTAATCAATTAACGTCACGCGACTGTATAAAACTTCACCTTTAATCCTACCAATGTCATTGTAGAGACACAAGTGACCCACACAAAAAGAGGCAATATGAAGGTTATATGCGCGGGTATGAACAAGACTGGAACTAAATCAATCTCCGAAGCTTTACGACAGCTTGGATTCACGGTCTATGACTGGGAAGAACAACTGTTCGATTTTCTGGATTACTGGGTTGGCGTCTTCCAAAATGGCGCCACGCCAGATGTGAAGCAAATCTACCAGGATGCAGATGCAATCGTGGATATGCCTGGAAACCTTTTCTGGGAGGAAATATTGGAAGCTTTTCCTGATTGTAAGGTGATTTTGAGCGAACGAGATGAAGATTCTTGGATACGAAGCTGGGTCACTCAACTAGAAACAATAAACGATGTTCGATCACGCACCGCAAATATGTTATCGCAAACCTGCACAACGGTAACCAACGTTGCGCACTGTAGTCTAATTGCTTTGTTTGGATCCATGAACCCCAAGTCCACTTGTGTTTTCAGGAAGAGATATCGTATGCATAATCACCGTGTAAAGTCCATTGTACCACCCGAGAAACTACTGGTGTTCAATGTAAAGCAAGGATGGAAACCGCTGTGTGATTTCTTGGGCTGTGAGATTCCGACATCCGCTTTCCCCCATGAAAATGTTAAAGGAAGACTCCTCAAAGAAATCTTTCAAAAGACAAGATATGGGCAGCAGGTGCAACGGGAAATTCAGAAAACTGTCTTTGTGATCGTTTCCGTTATCGTTGTTATTGTAGCTTCATTGTTTATACTTTGTTTATACTGTTAATTGAACAACAATCTTGTCATTTCGACAAACCTTGATTCTTTTGGTTATATAGTACCAATCATAAGGACTATAACGTTATTGCAATCATGCACAACTCTTGGCACAAACTATTTTTTCCTCGAATTGCAATCTTAATAAAAGCGAAGATGACGAACACTGAATGTGCTGCGATAGAGATTAACTATGTACATCATCATCATCATCATCATCATCATAATAACAATAATAATAATTTAATGATAATTATTATTTTTTTATTTCAAGCGTTTATTGATCTAAAAATAACTCAGTGAAACTCAAAAACCATCTGGACTTGACTCGAGGATGGCCTGTGCTTGGTTTGTAGCTGATTCGCTCGGGCCCGCTTTTGATTCGTGAAATGCCCGGGGGTAACTCCCATGTAAAAGCGACGGGGACGCTTGTCGGAAAATCCCATTGATACTTTTGTTGAAATATGAATCTTCTTGAAAAACGATTTCTGTCTGGTCAGTGTCACGGTAATTTTTTGTAAATTTCTTTATGCACAACCTAAGCGATACCTGAATGGGTAAATATAGTGACTTTCCGTCCCAAACACCCCAAGTGAAACCAAATTCTGCAATTTACACCCCTAAGCATCCCCGTTACTTTTATATGGGAGTAACCCCCTCCCCCACCCCCGTGGTGAAACGACCAAACTCGGGTACAATAAATCAATAAATTGGGATTAACCATTACCCTTCCTTGCTCGACCAAAGGCCTGTTCACAGGCTACTGCGAGCTCAGTTGCTCGATTAACACCTTGCTGGCGAGAAACAATCGCAACAAGTGAAATATGAAGGTTATTTGTGTAGGGCTGCAAAAAACCGGCACCAAATCAATTTGCACAGCTTTACGGTATCTTGGATTCACAGTGTTTGACTGGGAAGAACAAATATTCGACTTTCTAGATCACTGGGTCGATGTCTTCCAAAATGGCGCTCAGCCAGATGTGAAGAGAGTCTACCATAACGCTGATGCCGCCTTGGATATACCCGCAAATTTCTTCTGGGAGGAAATATTAGAAGCTTTTCCCGACTGTAAAGTGATTTTGAGCGAAAGAGAAGAGGATTCCTGGGTAAAAAGTTTTGAAAACCAGCTGGAAATGTTCGAGAAGAACAATCAGTTAATATCGCGCACACATCTCTTGCTGTCGAAAACCAGTAGAAAGTTTTACGACGTTGCGTCGCCCTGTTATCATGCTTTGTTTGGTTCTTTCCTAAAGCCCAAGCCGACTTGCGTTTTCAAGAAGCGATATCGTATGCACAATGACCGCGTAAAGTCCATTGTACCAGCCGAAAGGCTACTGGTGTACAATGTAAAACAAGGATGGAAACCGCTGTGTGATTTCTTGGGCTGCGAGGTTCCAACATCCGCTTTCCCCCATGAAAACGTCAAGGGAGAAATTGCCACAAGCATGAAAGAAACAGCGATTGGCCGGCAAGTAAATTGGGAAGTTCAAAGAACTATTATTATCTTGCTTTCTCTTATCGTCGTTTTTGCAGCCGCATGTATTGTTATTTGCTTTTCTGGATGAAACTGGCGAAGCGGAAATCTGGCCGATCACAACCGAAAAAAGTTTTTAAAACTTGTAACATTATCTATTACTTTAATAATCAAGACTAGGTATCAATGCAATGGCTTTTGGTTTAGTTTTATCCTTTTTCTGAGTTTTTGGCTGCACGTGAGGGATATTTTGTCGTCACGCAACGCCCCTGACACCCAACACCAGTCACGATACTGGGCTACGTGATAATCAACATGCAGATTTTTCACAACGAGAATTTGTTTAATATTTATAATGAAGGTTTTTTTTTATCTTTTTTACCATTTCATATAATTCTCATGGTGACTAACTGATTGAGCAGTGATATTGCAAGGAGGAATTAGTTGCTGATCTCTTGTCTAAGACAAAAATTGCTCATTTTGCTACCCTATTTATTGAAAAGACAATAGTCCTTATTTTATCACCCTGATTTTATTTTGCATACAGAATTAAGTAGTTTTTCAAACTAACATCATGGAATAAGATTTTTGCAAAAAATTGTTGGTACCACAAATGTAGACCATTTATCTCCAGCCTTCACCCTTCGATCTAAAAAGACACCCGCCAGGTTCAAGTTGCTAAATAGTAAAACTGCATACCCTGCTTAAGAAACCAAACGCTGTTCAGCAGCACGTACTTTTTTAGGCCAAATACGGGATTGTGCCAACCCGGGACTTGTTAACAATACATACCTGTTTAACCCAAGGTTTCACACCATGTTTGAGTCGTTCATTCCTCATATCGCTTTCCTGAACTCCTATCAGCTTGGCCAGCTGCCTGTCAGAAAAACCAGCTTGTTTGGCTTCTAGTAAGTCTTCCTGGGAAAAGGAGTCCCTGAAAACCAAAAAATTGAGAAAAAAGTAAGCACTATAGACTGCTTGATAGCAACTTGAGTGGTTAAACTGGAAACAAATCCATAACAGTGATTATGGCAGCCTGCAAATACAACTACTTTTTCTCTTATCCTGAGCATGAAGTAATGAACCTATTAGAAATATGTATCCTTGCAACACCCTGCCGCCACTGCTGCCACCACCACCACCACCATTGTTGTCACCATCGGCATCATCATCTATTACCATCAATGTCACATCATTGCCATCATGATCATTAGCATCACCATCATCATCATTGCATATCTTTATCACCATCATCATCATCATGATCATCAAGATAATCATCATCACTGCCATCATTCATTACCATCAACATCAACATCATTATCACCATCATCATTAACATTATGATAATCTTTAGGGCATTTAATATCTTTATCATCATCATCACCCTCATGATGGTGTTGGTGTAAAACCACTATCAACCAATATCAATATTACTGAAACTTTCATCATCAGTGTCAATAATTTGTCAGTGCCACCACCCAAACAATCATACCCATCCCGGTGGATGACCATTTTCGTTATCAACATCACCATCCTTGTCACCAACAACAGCAACATCATCATCACCTATTATCATTATCTTATCCTGTAACTGCCTAAATGGCTCTTGGGCTTTTCTCCAAAAAACATCAGTAGATCATCAAGAGTATTAAGGTTATGAGAATTGCTTAATCGGTTAACAAAACGAGAACGCTTTGATCTTAAACCAAATTCTCTCAACTATTCTTAAAAGAAATGTATGGAGATCAGTCTGGAGAATTTGTATGTGGATCTTGGGGTTTACAGGGATAAATCAATCATGTAATTATACTTCACAACTTACAGCTTCAGGTTTTTCAGGTCACTCTCAATGTCCACTATTCGATGCAGTTTATGTAAGAACCACCGATCTATGCTGGTCAGCTCATGTATTTGATCTACTGTGTAGCCTGCGTGCAGTGCCTGAAAACACAAGCATTTGATGAGGCAGGGTTGCACGTAAAATAATGCTATAGAGCATGATTAAAGATGAGTGCAGCAAGTTGGGCAAGAGCCGGTTTTAGTCAACTGTTAACCTTTCTCTGAGCAATCAATATACCATAATATTCCAAAAATAAGCCCGTCCAGGTATAAGCCCCCGAGACCGGTAAAGCAAAAAACCCTTTTTTAAATAGCCCCCCCCCCCCTCCCCTTCCCGGGGGCTTGTACCTCAAATACAAAGTAAAACAAAGCAAAAACGGTAAATTTACTTCCAACTATGAGGCTAACTCAATCGATTTTGAAACACAAATTTCCCTCCGTAGATAAGCCCCACCGAATATAACCACCTCCAAATATAAGCCCCTCAAAAGGGGCCTTTGAAAAATTTTCGGAATTTTATGGTAGTGAACAACCACCACCCTTTTGTGACTTTCTTCATATTCCAGTCAACTGCTGTAATTTTTTTACACTTTGCTGGAAATATACCTTGCTAAATTAACATCTTCATTGTCTATTATTAAATCTGAATGTCAAGGAAAACTACCCACCTTTGCAATGGAGTAGACCCTGGTGTTTGATGGAACAACCAGCTCATCCTCCAATCTACGGTCTGACAGCTCCTGATGCATGCTGGGAAGCTAAAATAGAAAAGACCAAGAAGAAACAAATAAATCAAGCCTTCAAATGTAATATGAACATAGTATTCCACTTGAAACATACCATTTTGGTCAAGCTCTTGCAGGAAAGAAAGGAGTTATATTTTTTACTACACTACCCTTGCTCCTTGGGGGGGTGAGTAGTGGTTAGAGCACTCGCCTTCCACCAATGTGGCCTGGGTTCAAATCGCAGCATCAACGCCATGATTAAGTGGGTTGAGTTTGTTGTTGGTTCTCTCCCTTGCTCCAAGAGGTCTTTCTCCAGGTACTCTGGTTTTACCTACCCTCAAAACCAACATTTCCAATTTCCAAGTCGACCAGGGATCTGGTAGAAGAAGAACCACTATGTGGATGTGCTACCTCTAAATTGTTATTTATTTATTAATTCATCNCCACCAATGTGGCCTGGGTTCAAATCGCAGCATCAACGCCATGATTAAGTGGGTTGAGTTTGTTGTTGGTTCTCTCCCTTGCTCCAAGAGGTCTTTCTCCAGGTACTCTGGTTTTACCTACCCTCAAAACCAACATTTCCAAATTCTAATTCGACTAGAGATCAGGCAGAAGAAGAATTAACCACCATGTGGATGTGCTACCTCTAAATTGTTATTTCTTTATTTATCTCACCTTCTGCACAAAGCCATCAACTGAGGGATGGACCATACGCAAAGCCTTCTGGAAACTTTCCTCAAATGTTCTGCCAATAGCCATCACCTAAGGAACAAAGTGAGAAAAACTCATCACTTGACTGAAATGTACAACAGAATAGAAATAGAGTTAAAGGGACAAATATGACTGACTGTTGTGAGGAAATTGCTTTTTACCTCTCCAACACTCTTCATAGAACTGCCAATCTGTTTGGATGTCATGTGGAATCTGTCAAGGTCCCATCTAGGAATCTAAATGAAAAAATAAATGGCTTTGTATATTTATAAATCACTTCTCCAAAACCTTTTACACCCTGGGTGAAAAAAGTTGAGTTAGAGTGAAAATCTTTCCCATGGAAATTAGACAATGCAACTCAAGCTACAGCTGTCTTATCTTATCCTGCGTGCAGACGTCTCCTATTACCTGTATTGCATGTGGTCCTTTTTCCACATGCTACAAAGGAAATAGGAGGCTACACCTGGCTGGACAAGACACAATGAAGTACCTTGGTGACAATGTAATCCAGGCTGGGCTCAAAACATGCTGTTGTTTGTTGTGTTGTAGAGTTCTTTATGTCGGGAAGTTGTACACCAAGGGCCAGCTTAGCTGCAATGAATGCCAGAGGATATCTGCAAAAATAAGACCAGAAAAATCAAGCCCAGAAGAGATAACATGAAAGCCAAAGTAAAACCTCTCTGACAAGAAGAGCTGTTGGGCTTTGCTAAAACCTAAAACAACATCCCTTATCATGTCATGTGGTCCTATGTATGTTCCTTATGTAGGTTTCTGTTCAAAAGAAGTTTTTTTTTTGTGGTACAGTTTAACAAGTGACCAGCCTTGTTCATTTTTTTGGTCTAAGCTGAAATTCTATTCTATGCTGACATTCTTTTAAGCTAAGGTAGGTTCAAAAACAGTGTCTGCCCTTGGACACAGTTTCACGTAGTACAGTCAACTCTCTGATGGACGCCTTTGCGACCAGCACAAAGTGTTTGTCTCAGAGAGGTGTCCGTCTTATAGAGAGTCAACTAAAAGGAGTAAAGAAAGGCAGGGACCAACTCTAGGTGGCCATTTTAGTGAGGTGTCCGTAAAGAGGGAGTCAATTGTGTTTATTTTTAAGATCAGGGGCTACCACATGCACATACTACTTAATTACCCGGTAGCTTTAGAAGCCAATGCAGAGCTCCTGGACAAACGTGCATTGACTTCAATGATACAGTACTCCAAAGAAGCGGGATGGAGGGCATATTGTATGTTACATTCACCAATTATACCAAGATGGCGTACCACCTGTAGAGGAAGGTGAAAAGAAAATCCTGTGAGATCACAGTAACGGAAGAAAATGGTTAAGGCATGGAAAGATGGTTCTCTAAAATGAATGGAATGTTCTGACTATTAGACAAAAACAAGTCACAGTGGGAAACACGGGAAAAATTTGCACTCGCTCAGTGTCATGTATCTAAGGAAAGAACACTTCTGTAGCCTGCAGATAAGTGTGTTCCAAAGAGCAAACACTTCCTACAGAGCTTACTACAGTCTACGAATCAATTAATTAAAAGTGAGTTTTGTTATTAATTATTTATAAACAAAATAATGTAGACTAGATGAAGTGAAAGCTGTGATCAAACCTTTAGTGCTGTTTCTCGTAGCATGTGATATTCCTGGTTAGAAAGAGTTTGACTTGGAGCAACAACAATAGAGTCACCTGCAGAAAATGAATAAAACAATTTTCAACAGTCTGTTACAAATTAACTTAAGAAAACTGATGGTATAGTGTTTGTCAGGGTAGCCTTGGACCAGGCTCCTTGGTGGGAAAAAAAGGGAGAAGGCT